CGCAGGCTGTGGTCACTACAAACTCCAATGCAGGCTGTGGTCACTACACACTCCTGCCCAGGCTGGGTCAGTAAACACTTCAGTGCAGGCTGTGACCAGCCAGTAAGAATGATCAATAAGTCGAGACAGCAGAAATCTGCGTACTTTCTTCTAAAAGCAACACGTGTAACTTTGCTAAGAGTGATAGGTTTCTTATGATACACAGTGTACTTCACCATGCTTTGATATGCATTCCTGACTATTGTTACAAGCAAACTCCTTAGGGTGCTGGTATAGATTGCATACTAGGGTTCCTTGATTCAGGTGGAATATAAATTCTCCACTCAAGAGCATGAGGATCTGCTGAGGGAACCAGCAGTATCAAAATATAAGTTCTTGTTTTTGTGATCACTGTCACAGTTTTAATCTTCACACTCTGGGATCATTGTGTCCACTTGAGAACTCTAAGTGGTTTCTCCATATAGTCTTCAGGACTTCATTGATACTAGTGGTGCTTCTGAGATACTATTGATTGCATTACTGTCCAGTAGGTATATTCTTAATTACACGTTAGAGTCCAGCAAAAAATAAATCACAAAATCTCAGAAGCTGTGGCAAATCCCAGTCTCCTATACTTCAAAATCATCATGTTCTTCTTTCTGTCTCGGAGAAATTAAAGGGATTCCCATCCCAGCAGAGACTATTAATGAGGATGTTCTTCATTCGTCCCAAGACTTGAGATCTCAATTTCACGCCACCTGCTTTCTCTGTCTCTTTTTTTTCCTTTCCACATCGCGTGCCTGCAGCGCCCCCTGGGTGGCGAGCAGACGTCCTGGCAAAAACTCTGCACGCCCAGTGACAATAAACTTTCTAACACATTTCAAAACAATCATCTCAAAGCACTTTGCTCTGTGTAACAACCCCATATCACCATTGCATCAAATAAAACATTGTAAAGCCAAAGACAAAGAAGATACGGGAGAACTACATGTTCTGTGGTTATATTTAAGAGTGTGGCTGAGTCCCTAATATCTTTTAATACCTCCTAATCTCCTGTATGTCAGCAGCAAAACGAAAGACCTGGCTTTCTCTGTTTGTGTTTTTTTGTCAAAGGGTTATCTGTTATCAGCTGTGGCTGTGTGGAAAAATATTTGAATATTACAGATGAAGAAATTTGATAAAATTATTGATTGTATTCCCAGAGTGTACTTGACAGCGACAATATGCTATCCAAGGCCCCCATGTGCAGTTTTCCCTGGAGCACCGTGGGCACGTTCTGACACGCTCTGGAGATGGTTTCTCTTCCTAGTCCACTGCCCTGAGCGAGCAGCTCTCCCTGCTCTCACCTGGGCCTCGTGCTACATGAGACCCCACACCTGACCGGGGCGCTGGCACTGTCCCCCTGGACAGTATTTACACAGAAGCCCCCAGTCCACTCACATCCGTGGTGTGAGGGGGAGGGCTTGGAGAGCTGCTCAGTGCTTCTCCAGTGACAATCTGAGTGTTTCGGGGATCTTCGGAAGAAATATTGGGGACACCACTGATGATGAGGAGCAAAGGTAAGTTCTTCTGGTCTAGTTTTTCTCTCCTTTTTTTTAAACAGCTCCTTTGACTCTGGAACCTCTGTTAAAGGATCCTAGAGATGGCTGGTTTCCCTTATTTCCCAGCAAGGGAAAAGCTCAGGCCGGACACAGACTGTGGGGAAGCTCAGGACAGCAGAGCAGAGCTGAGCAGCTGTGGCTCGTTGGTCTAGGGGTATGATTCTTGCTTAGGGTGCGAGAGGTCTCGGGTTCAAATCCTGGACGAGCCCTTGTGTGCTCTTTGGGGGCGGATCTGTGCCTGTGGCTGGAAGGTTGCTGGTTCAAATCCTGCAGCTGGTAGAGGAATCCTACTCCATTGGGCCCCTGAGCAAGGCCCTTAACCCCAACTGCTCCAGGGGTGCTGTACAATGGCTGGCCCTGCGCTCTGACCCCCAGCTTCTCTCCCTGTGTCTCTGTCTCATGGAGAGCAAGCTGGGGTATGTGAAAAGAAGAATTCCTAAAGCAAGAAATTGTATAGGGCTAATAAAGTGATGTTATGTTATGGAAAGGCAAAACCACAAGCCGGAGCCACAGAGGTGCAGCTCTTAACAGAAAATACTAACGCTAGCACAGGCTTTGGGTTTCAGAAGCAATGAATCAGGGCGGAACTTGGCTTTGTTCTGTGTTGCAGGTTTGCACACCTGGTCTGATGAAGAGCGGTTTGTCTTGGCCCTGCTCCTGCTCCCTCATGTTTCTGCCGCACCACCCCCGCACTGCAGCTTCCCTCGCAGAACCGCTCGTCTCGCTCAGGGCTCGCACCCGGGATGTCCGGCCTCTCGCAGGCCTGGAGAGACGAGCACAGACCTACCACCAGTAGGTTCAGTAGTGCTGAAAGGGGTCGCCCGCTACCCTGCACCTGAAAAGATACGAGTTTCTTCTCTGGGCCTTTTCTCATAAGAGCTTCACAAAGTGGAACGCACACACACAAGGCGCGCTCTCATCTTTCTGTGGTCGTTTGCTGATGTCTGCGCGGACACACTACTCTTGCAGGGCCTGACTTGTTGCCACAGCCCATAAGCCAGTCAAACACTAAGCTGTGGTTTAAGAGAAACCAGAAAAGAATGAAATTACTCTCATGTGTGGTTGATAAATCAGCTGAGCCAATCGAAATAAGAGCGTGTTCTTAAAGAATCAGAATGTGCCCAACAGAATCCCTGTGCTGCTGATGATTCAGAGAGAGGCTGGGAGTTCCCCTTCGCTGCAGTACAGCAGTCTGCCAGATATGAAAAATACAATCACTGATAAAGAACAGAGCTCAGATTCACACAAATAATGGAGAGACAGTACACAAAAAAATAAAGACTTAATTTAGATTTGGAAATGCTGCTGTTTCAGTGTGGGAAAGGCACTTTTTCAGTACTGTAAAGCAGATGAGTGCCGTGGGTGGGTGCAGAAAATCGAAACAGATCTTTATCAGGCCCTGTGCTCCAGCTTCTCCTGCTCGGGCTGGATAAAGACCTGGGGGGAGGGGCGCAGGCTGGCCTCTTATCTGATCTCGGGACGGTTTGCATTCTCCTCCAGGCGATTGGCAAATGACACATCCTGTGCTACTTGGGAATGTTTCTTTGTGTGTTTTTTTTCAGACCCTTTATTTGTGAAAGCCTGACGAGGCTTGCAAAGAATTTTCTCGCAGGCTGTTCTCAGACAGCGCAGGCCGGCGCCGGCGGCTAGGGCGGGCGGAGGGAGGGGTGTGAGGGAGGCGGGGCGGGTTCGCGCTGGTGGGGGGAGGGTGCTGGGGCTGGAGATTGCACGCAGGACGAGGCTGAAATACACGGCGCTCAGTCCGCACAGCACAGACTCTTCCAGGACGGATCTTTGAGTTTATCAGTGAGCCCTTCTGCCCTGTGCAGGATCGTGGTCAAAACAGTAGCAGAAAAAGATGCAGATCTGATTCAATTGTGTTTGTCCCAGTGTAATAATAATAATAATAATAATTGCTTACACTTATATAGTGCTTTTCTGGACAACCCACTCAAAGTGCTGTACAGGTAATGGGGATCCCCTCCACCATCACCAGTGTGCAGCCCCACCTGGATGATGCACCAGTACTCTCCCCACACATCAGCTCTCAGTGGGGAGGAGAGCAGAGTGATGAAGCCAGTTCAGAGAGGGGGATTATTAGGAGGCCAGTGTTGAGTGGTTCATCTCAGCTTGGTCCTCAATGTCTCTCCAA